GGGGGCCGGGGGCCGGCCGGTGCTGATGGGCAGAAGGTAGGTCCAGCCCACCCGTGGGTCCCAGCATTGCAGCAGGGACTGTCTCACTGGCCCCGGGATGGCAGCACCCTGCTGGTGCCAACCCGGGCAGCGTGGGGGATGAGCATGGGTGACATCCATCTGTCCTGCAGGGCCAGAAGGGTGAGAAGGGTGACGGGGGAGTGCAGGGGAAGCCGGGGCGCCCAGGGAGAGATGTGAGTAGTGCCAGGTGGTACCTGGGCATCCCTGGGGGCATCCCCTGAGGCACAGGGGACCAGCCCCCCCATGCTGTGCACGTGTGGAGACTTCACACCCTGCTCTGCTCCCGGCAGGGTCGGCCTGGAGAGATTTGTGTGGTGGGGTCCAAGGGGCAGAAGGGATGTGGGTGCTTGAGGGTGAGCGGGGGGGAGCTGGGGCACCCAGCAGCATGGCTGGCACTGACACCCCCTCCCTTGCCTTCTAGGGTGACCCTGGCCTCGTGGGACCTGAGGGGCTGGCTGGTGAGCCGGGACCCCCAGGGAAGCCAGGTTCTCCAGGGATTGGCATTCCAGGGAAGCCGGTGAGGACCCCTGTGCTATGGGGGGGCTTCACTGAGGTGTCTCCCAGGGCTTCACAATGGGGCTGGCTGGACAGGGTGTTCAGGAAGGGCTCTCTCCCTTTCAGGGTGACCCTGGTGGCCCCCCGGGTCCGAAGGGAGAAAAGGTGAGTTTGGGGGAAAGGAGGGGTCCTGGCTGCCCCCTGTCCTGCCCCAGGGCAGTTCAGTGTGGCGGGTTGTGCTGGGGATCCCCCGCTGGAGCTGGATCCACCACAGCGAGTCAGCACTGGCTCCTGGTGCTACTGGCTGGGCAAGCCCAGCTGGGTGGCCCATGGCTTGGCCTGGGGGACAGGAGGGCCACGGCTTTCTCCTTGGCTGGGCTCAGGCTCTCCCATCTCTGGCTTCAGGGCAGTTCAGGAGCTCCTGGACCTGGAGGATCGCCTGGGACACCAGTGAGTACTGTGAGCCTGGAGCCAAAGCCTGGGGTCAGGGATGGGTCTCTTGGCTGGGGCTGCTTGGCCAGAGTGATGCTGGGATCTGGAGTGGTGCTGGGATCCAGAGCAGTGCTGGGATCCAAGCCCAGGCACATGGAGGGGTTTGGAAGAGCCAACGGCCTCATCCAGGGCTGGGACTGTCCTGTGCCTTCGTGGTGGCAGGGGTTGGGGGGTGCTGGGGGGCACGGCCAGGGCAAACCTTGGCCTGAAGCAAGCCCTGTGCTCTGCCTTCCTCCCACAGGGACCCCCCGGTGTCCTGGGGCCCAAAGGAGAGAAGGTGGGTGCAGCAGCAGGGTGTCCCAGCGTGGGGCTGTGCCATGGCCACGGGCACAGCAGCCCCGGCCAGCGCGGCCCCACCACGGTGCCCATCCCTGGGCTCGGGGCTGCTGGGGGGACCCTGGGGGCCATCCCCAGGACTCCCCCGCCCCAGGGCTGGGTCTCATTGTCCCTGTGGTCAGGGTGAGCCGTGTGAGGTGTGTCCCACCGTCTCAGAGGGGGTGCCGGGGGCCGCCGGGCTGCCCGGGAAGCCAGGACCAAGGGGAGCACCCGGCAGGGACGGGGTCTCGGTCAGTCTGGACACGGGAGGTGTGGGGGGGGGGGGCTCTGGTCTCAGCATCCCTAACACCCCCTCTTTCTTTTTTCCCCCCCTCTCCAGAACACCCCTGGTCCCATGGGACCCAAAGGGGACAGGGTAGGTGACACAGGGCTTGGGGGGGTGGTCTTGCCTGTCCCCAAGCAGAGGTGGGGGGACAGGGAACACCATCCATCCCGTGCTGCCCAGCACAGCTCCTGCATTTCCTTCCCAGGGAGATCCTGGCATCCAGGGCATGAAAGGGGAAAAGGTGAGTGTCCATCCCTCCATCCCACACATCCGCTTGGCGGGCAGCCCCCCAGCCCCCCCTGAGCTGTGCTCTGCCCCTGCCCTCGCAGGGAGACTCCTGCCTGTCCTGTGACCCCCACGTCCTTGCTGCACTGCTGCGGGGTCCCCCCGAGGGG